AATTTTTTTTCATTTTCATTCCGTTTTTTCCAGTTCTTCAAATTTCTTCAAGTTCTTTTCAATTGCTTCCAATTTCTTTCTGTTTAATCCAACATAACTCTTTTTATCCAGTTCTAAAGAACGTACTCTTAATAAGATTAACAAAATGTTGACAACAAAGATTGTAGCTGAGATGGTTTGTAGTGCGTAGTGCAAGCACATGAGGTCCTTGGTTTGAATCCAGGGTTTAGGTTTTATAAAAATTTTACAAAAAAACGGTTTTGGCGGTTATACCAGCGGGTAATCGGGTATTCTCCGGTTTCCACCGGTTCAGTGTTGAAGACGGTCTAATTAACTGGACCGGACTGGTTCTCGGTCCAAATCTAATAGTCCGGTCTGTTTTTTAAAACTATGCCTTATACTTAATAGAACACAGGTTTTTCATAAAAGCATATAATCAATTCAATATTTCAATCCGTCCCCAAACTTTTCCACTTTGGAAAAATGTAGAGTTTACGAAGTTTTTAATTTTGGCATTATTTTACAATATAGCCCTTACTTTATAGTATGGTAAAATAGAATACGATGGGACTGAGGGCCTGTTTTTTAGAACTGGAATATTAAATCAAACTAAGATTAAATCAGACTAAGAGAGCATACTCTATATAATCTAAGAATAATTGATCACAATGTTCTCTTGTACTTTAAATCAAATCAGATCAGATCAGTTCAGATCGAATCAGATCAGATTAGATCGAATCATATCAGATCCAATCAAGAATTATTATTATTATTATTATATTATTATTATTATTATTCTTCTTCTTCTTAAAAATGAAAAAGAATAAACTTTAGAACCAAGTTAAATAGAAAATTGAGAAAGTAATCCTTAACTATTAGACGTCGGAAAAATTATATTTGAAATACATTGACAATGTCAATCTAATTCTACTTTTAAAATACATTTTTATCGCTACCTGTAATTTGAGTTGATCAACTTGGATCATGAATTAAATAAAATTAACATTTAATCTTCATATACGTAGTATATTTTAGTGTAACTGAAATAACTATTATATTAATCATAAAAAAGTTTCGTAGTACAAAGCGCACATTGATATTTTATAAGGATGAGATATTTTAATAAAAATACTATCTCTTCTCTATATTGATTATCTAAATTTAATTACTTTTTATTGTATATATGAATTAAATATTTATTCTAATGTATATATGAACTAATTATTAAAATATTAAATCAATATTCTTATTTCATAAAAAACAATCATAAAATAAAAAATATTATTACATTATAATATGAATGATTATTCTAATATATGAATTAACTAAAATTAATTCCTTAAAAAATAATAATAAAATAAAAAATATTGATTATATTATAATATGAATTATCATTACAATTTTCAAACGTTATTAGAAAGTCAAATCAAATTATTGATTTGAATTTTAAATCAAATCATAATTAATCAGATCAGATCAGACAAGATTAGATCAGATCCAATCAGATCAAACTAGATCAGATCAGATCAGATCCAATCAGATCAGAAAAAATAAGTTGAATGGAACGGAGCCTTAGTAGAGTTCAATAATAATATTGAGGTAATGCACTTATTAGCGTGCACTACTCAGTACTCATTCTACATAGGTTAAAGGGTGTTGGAGAGTAGGAAAATTCACTCCTAACTTTAATGTGCGGCAGTTCCCATAACATTGATTATCAATGTCCTGAAATGATTCGAGAGTCTTACGAAGCGTTATTCGTAAAATTGATAGTTCCTATCCTTTAACCCAGACAAATCTTTCCACCCGCCCCGACCCAAACCCACCCCTACCCCTTCAATTGTGTTATTGTACCCTTCGTTTTATTTTATTTCGGAGTCAAAATTTTGACTTCAAAGTTAAATAAACTTGGAGTGTAATTCAAAGAGGTGTGGGGTTGGGTTTGGATCGGGGTAGGGTGGTCGGTTTGTCGGGGTAGAATTCGCTAATTTTACGAATGAGACATCGTAGGACCCTTAGGTCATCCGATTAGCAATTTCATGGGAATCAATCCGCTCTATTATTACTTCTTTTTAATGATATTTTGGTTTTCAAAAGAAAATAAGAAATTACTCTGTAGTTAGTACGGAGTACATAAAATAATGAAAGTACTGTTTTTAGGCCCTGTTCTTTTAGTTTAGATTTTTAGAGTTGGATACTAAAAGAAATTGAATGGAGTTAGAAAAAAACATGAATGAGTTGGAAAATGTAGGAAAAATTAAAGTGTTAAAAGTCACTCAATTAAATGATCATCCAAATAAATATTTAAGAAAACTCTAATTTTGGACAAACAAATTTGTCTTTATACGAGTCTGAGATGGTATGTTAGAAATTTGGATATATAATATTATTGTATATTCATCATATAAATTTTTTTTAAAAGTCATTGTTAAAAAAAACTAGAAAGAGTTAGAAGAGAAATGAGAAAGAATTAAAAAGTTAATTTTCCAACCTCAAAAAAAAAACAGTTCTAAATTTAAGATCTCACTAAACACATACGGAATGTTTTTTTTTAAAAAAATTGTATCAGTCCGTCAACAAAACAATTATAGCTAATTTTGAAAAATGAACTTTACCATATTTTTGGACCCCCACTTTTGAGCCGTGTGCGGTGGCACCACTTGGCAGCCTTCGGGGTCGCCTGTGGCATAATAGGCAGAAAAGGCTAAGTTAGGACATTTTAGAGTTAGGATCACCTCACAATTTAGGAGCATGCTATATGTACCCCAAAATTTGTACATCATTTGTACACCAACATTTTAGGAGCATGCTATATATACCCCAAAATTTGTACACCAAAGTATGCACTAACATTTTGATGGTTTAGACTAACACAAAGTGTTGGTGCGTTAATAAAAATTTACACTAACACAAAGTGTTGGTGCGTTAACAAAAATTAGCATTACACCAACATAAAATGTTGGTGCATCCCTGTGGTATACAAAATGGAGTACAAATTCTTGGGTACAAATAGCATTATCCCACATTTTATATTGGTGCAAACAATTATTCTCTCTCCAACAAAAACCTTATTATTGTGCCTTATGATATATGGCTATAATTATTTTAAAATTATTTTATATAAAAAATAGCGTGAAATTAAAAAAATAAAGATTACATGTTTAAAAACTACAACAAAAAATGTACAAAATCAGAGGTGACATGATTATATTACTTTATCAAATGAGCATCGAAAATAAACCAACAAAGTAAATAAAATTTGACCGGCCCAGGAAGAGTTATTTATATTCTAACACGCCCTCTCACGTGCATGCATAGTTTTTTGCGAGTCTTGCACGTGAACTTTTAATTTTCTTAAAACTGGGTGATGCTGAGTTTCGAACCCGTAACCTTAGTCAACAAGGCTCCGATACTATGTCAAAAAACCAATCCAGCCACAAGTTCAAGCTTGTGATTGTGACCCAGGAAGAGTTATTTATACTCTAACAGAGACATATCTCTCTGCAATAATAAGTATTTGTACAAAGTTTGAGATCATCCCAGAATATTAGGGTTACTTTAGCACGACTTTTATAGGTGTGGTGTAAATGTAGTTATGTAGCAATTTTCTTTCTTAAAAAGGAGCTTCTCTACATGGAGCCTCTTGTTCCACACTTTGAGCAATTTTCCTCATTTGTGAGCGTTAATGTAGCTTTCACACAGATGGAGATGGTTACATTACATTTCTCTTTCTTTTTTCTTTCTTTCTTGTTAACATGTCTTCATTTCACGTGCAAATCAAACTCCAATGATTGCAATAATATGACAATCGGGGGTCCACTCGTCACATAAGTTTTTAATTTGGAAAGAAAAAATAAATCGATACATAAGTTCTTGAATTGAAATAAATAATCGATTGTATTTAATCTTTTAATGTGGTTCAGCCCAAGTGTCTTATTCTCCAATTCAGTAACACTTTCTCTATCCTAAATCTTTCATGGTATCGGAGGCAGGTTTCTAAAATTTTACTGTTGATTGGCCAATTGGCACTGAGCCGTCCGCCGTTGCTGTTTTAGCCCACCTCATTTGTTAAGGTGTTCGTCTAGAAGTTCATTCTTAGCGGCCTATTTATCTTTAGCCCGGTTGTCTGTATGGAAAAACGGCTTGTGACCCATGTAATCTAATTGTTCATCTAGAAGTTCATTCCTAGAGATTCATGATCCTTTAGGTGTTGGCACTTCTGATCCTTTCATTTTCTGGGGAGGGGAGTCCATTTGCAAGTGGCCAACTGGTTAGATTCAAATGACTTGGTTGTCCACTTGAGCGAAGTGTTAAAAAGTATCCCACATTGGAATTTGAAGACATAATAAATCGGTATATAAGCTCTTGAGTTGACTAAGTAATTGCTTAGATTCATTCTTTTAATCTAGTCCAGCCCAAGTGTCTTGTTTCTTAAGATTAAAGAAGCACAAGTCCTTAACTAAAAGCTCAAACTTTTAGTTATAGCGTGACACGTGAAATATTTTTATATTTTAACACGTGTCGACTTTTACGGTATTTGAAAAAAGTGTCAAAAAAAGATTGTGATCTTTTAAGGGTATTCTTGGAGTTAAGGATTTTTGAGGTTCTTTGTAGCACTTCACGACCAGGGGCGGACCTACGGTTGTGCAAGTGGGTTCAATTGCACCCACTCCAAAAAAAATTATTTATTAGTAGTAGTTTGTAATTAGCTACTATATGTACATTAAGGGCATCCAAGAAGAGTATATTTATATGTGATTAGGTGCTATTTTTTTGAAAATGGAACAGAGAACACCTTTTATAATTGTGTAGAATTTTATGTTTTAATTCTTTTAAATTTGGAAAATAGATTTAACTTTAATTACGAAACTTAATTATAAAATGTTCAATTTTTTTGAAATGTATGAACGAGTTTAATTGTTTTAAAAAGATTCTTAAAATATACTTAGGGGCTGTTTGGTAACTTCTGAATGGGTAAGTGCTGAACCAGTAAAAGGTCTGAACCATTAAGTGCTGAACCAGTAAGAGGTCTGAACCATTAAGAGCTAGTATATTGTTTAACTATTCAGAGGCAAATGTCTGATCAATTCAGATAAGAGCTCTTAACCATTCAGACTCTGTATAATACTTAACCATTCAGAGGCAAATCTCTTAACCATTCAGACATCTGAACCATTAAGAGGCTGAAACAAACAGTCTGAACCATTAAGTGCTGAATCATTCAGACATCTGAACCATTAAGAGGCTGAAACAAACAGCCCCTTAGTATTTGAAGAAATTTCTAGAATTAATATTTTAGTTGTTTAGTTTTTTTTTCTTTTTTGGTTAAAGCAATGAACGTATTATATTTATTATACAGTATTTCAAAAATATTACATACAACTTGCAATATTTATCTCAAAATGCTATTTATTGATACTTTTTTACCTTGTTTTAAATTTATTGCTATACAAATATCAACATTTTCTTTTTGTGCACAAAATGTGAACCCACTCACCGAAATTCCTGGGTCCGCCACTGTTCACGACCACTCACTTCAAACCCGTAGTCACTCAGCGCCATGGCAGTACTGATTACACTCAATATCTCACTTACACTACTACAAAAAAAACCTTTTAAATAGGTTATTTTTAACTTTTTAAATCAGTTGTGAACCGATGCAAAAGCCTGTGATGCAAATGTTGAGGTAACTTTTTGCATCGGTTGTTAAACCGATGCAAAAGCCTCTTCTCAGAATTGGCACCAGCTCTGGGAGGAGCATTTGCATCGGTTATTTGCCAATAATTATTTTTTATTTTCAGTTTATTGTTTTTTCTTTTGGGTTTATTTTTTATCTTTCGGGGTTCTTACTTTTTTAATTTAATTTCTTCCCTTTTTTATATTATACTCCGTAACAATAAAATAAAAAAATATAAACTACATTTATTAGAAATAGTACATGTTAACATTACTTAAAAAGAAAAAAAAATTGATACAAGTAACACTAATTTAAATTTCGAATTTTCCAAACATGCTCTCTTAATTCGGCTTTTAGGTAGTGTGTCTATATACTACAGATTTAGGCGCGGCTTAGGATTACTTCCAGTGCACACACTCAATGCTACCAAGTACGGAGTATTCTTGAAAATCTGTACACATCTTCCTAAAATTCGTAGATATTTTGAATGTCATTCAATTCCATGATGGTTTCTGCAAATGCTCTCCACCGTATAGTTTTCTAATTGTTTAGTAGTCTCTATGTTCATGATTATTTTATAGATCTTAATGCATTAAATAATGTGAAATTTGCATTAAAACATAAGTCATTTCCCAATGTAGGACTTAAACTTTTTTTATTCCTTAAATAGGACTTAATAATGACTAGTGAGAAGAATAATGTCCAAGTGATGCTGGACATTTAGTTGAATAATAACTAATAGATAATAACCAATGATCCTACATTTGGAAATAAAAACATATATTCCTATGTTGAGAAAGTCATTATGTTTTAGTCCTATTTAGATAAATTACCCTTCGATAATTATATACATTGAACTCTATAAAAGAAAAGAGAATCAAATGTAAGTCCATTAAAAATATTCCTTCCATCTAAAAAAGATTGCCACATTTAACCATTCAAAAATCATATGAACTTTTGTTTATTTTCGTATTTTCATTGATTATTTGATAAATAAAATATTGTTGTCACTTTTTATTTTGTAGAAATTTTTACATAGTTTTTAAATATGTAATTCTTTTTATTTTTATACCAATCTTTAATTAAAATGAATTGAAAAAAGTACAAAAAATTATTTTGTTTAAGGTAATATTTCAATCTTTTTAAAACAAAACGAGTATATAAGAAAGTACGATTCATATACTCCCTCCGTCCCAGAAAGAATGCCACGGTTACTGTTTTGGCCTCTCGTTAACTTTTGTTTGTTTACTCGTTTTGGTTGACTATTTGATAAAATAAAATATTCTTGTCGTATCTTATTTTGTAGAATTTTTCATATACTTTTGAACGATGTAATTTTTACTTTTTATTACTCTATAAATTTGAAAATATAATAATTTTAAAATAAATAATATTTTGCACGTGGTTCGAAATATTGCAAATAATTTGGTACAGGATAATCTTAATGCGATACATTGATAATACACAACCTCCAAAAAAATGGTATGCCCTGTATGCCCGAGACTAATCAATATCATCTGAAAGGTTCTTGTCTTTTTGCAGCCTTTAGAATCACGTGTATCAATTATCAAATGACGTCGTCACCCAAATGTCCTTTGGTGCAAAAAGAAATTGCCCATTAGTGATTAAAAAGAGGAAAATGCTAGGGTACACCAAAAGTGTACTCCAACCATCCCCACCCCCTCCATAACTACACAAAAAAAGCAAGAAATTTTCAAAAAAAATTAAAAATAAAAACAAAATAAAATGATTAGTTAATAGGAGGGTGGTGTACATTTGGGGTACACCGGTACACTTTTTGGTGTACCCCTAGCATATCCCATGCAGCATGCTACATGTACTCTAAGATTTGTACCACATTTCTAGACCAAAATATGTATCAACATTTTGATGGTTTACACTTATACAAAGTGTTGATGCATTAACAAAAATTTAGATGGGCACAAAGTGTTGGTACGTTAACAAAAATTAGCATTAAACCAACACAAAATATTGGTCCATCCATGCGGTGTACAAAATGGGATACAAATCCTTGAGGTACAAATAACTTTACCCTAAAAAGATCTATTTATCCGATCCCTTCCAACCAAAAATCATTTTATGTATTACGATGTTTTTACAAATTTATTTTAAAATTACATTATATAAAAACTTGTGTGTAAAATTAAAAAAAATACATATTTAAATAATATAACAATGTTCTATAAAAATTTGAAGTGATATGACTATATTATTTTATCAAATAGGCAACGAAAATAGGCTAACAAAATATATTATTTTTAGACATACTGAATATAATACGGAGCATGGTTTATTTTAAAATAATTATTCTCTCTAAATGCAGCTGGTAGGCTCTTCCATCCCAAAATTGTCTCTCCTATTTCGAAAACGTGCAAAATCACTCCCTTCGTCTATAAATTTTCAAGAAATCATTCCAAGTAAGATTGAAATATACTCCTTCTCTTCCGGAAAGATTACTACAATTTGATTTTTTATTCAAATTCTGACACCCTTTGATTACAAAATATGGAAAAAGTATATTTAGTTATAATATAAATTTAGTAAAATTAGGTTTAACTTAAAATATAGTTTTGAAATATAAAATTTTTATAATATTCAATTATTTTAAACTATATTTAATTAATGCTTAAAGAGTGAAATTGAAATTGTGACAATCTTTTACGGACAGAGAGAGTGACATTTATCCTCAAAATAAGAGTTGTACTTTTTTGTTGTCTCAAAATAAGAGTTTATATTGTGACATTAGTGTGACGTACTACTGTACCCGATGACATAAGTAGTGTGACGTACTACTGTACCCGATGAAGATTCCTCAACACTGTATAGTTACATCTCACTCTATTTTTTGGTACTATATATTGACATTATTAGAATTCTATATATTGACATTATTAGAATTGTACCCTTATTTTGGGGATAAAAAGTATGGAACTCCTATTTTAGCATTTTCTCCCTATTTTACTCTTATTTAGTCTTTTTCTCTAAATTTTCTTCTCGCTAATTATTCACATGGTAAACTTTATTCACTTCGTTTATCTATTTTTATTTTTCATTTGATAAAATAATATAGTCATACATTCATCTCTAGTTTTGTAGTTTTTTATATACTTTTTAAATATATTCAATTACACTTATTTTCATATAAAACGAATTAAAAAATCTTTAGTTCAAACATTGAAACACGCAACTGCAAGAAAATCTTTGAAGGGATGGAGTATAATTTTTAAAATGATTTTACTTAAAATTTTGGATTAGAAATAAAAAGTACAAGTTACTCCCTTAGGCTTTGTACTATAAAAATATTCAACATTTTTTCGGCCGTCCAAAGACGCGATCCTTAAAGTTTCTCTCCTATGCATCAATTTCTATCACATAATTTTATTTTTCTATTTTCCTTCTACCTCAATCCTGAAACCTTTTTATAAGATGGAGGGAGTCCACATCTAAAAAGTAAATCAAAATTCTAACAAGACAAGTCGTGAGATGTCATTTTATTTTATCAAACTACGAATGAATTATGTGTGTTTTTATAAAAAATGAAAAATACTTTTTTCGCTCATAGTTAGATCTCTTTATTTTTTACAAGACCCATTAGATAAATTTATTTTATGTGTAAAGGTCTATATAATTAGTATTGACACAAAATCCACAAAAGAATTTGCATTTAGTTGGATACTACGAATCATTACTATAATATTTGAAACTTGCTTAATGAGAATTCAACAAGTGGACAAACATGACTATTTTTTGACCCACCAACATGTCATATCATTTTTAGAGTATGTGGTAATAATTACTTTTTACTTTTACATTTTTATTAGTTATAACTACACATTTTATAACTTTGACAAAAAAAGTATACGTTTTCTATTTTATGCCTTAGTTACGTTATTAAAAATTTATGTTTTTGCCATAATAAAGCTAATTTGGGGTAATATATATACTTTAATTTAAATATAAGTTTTAATTACAATTAAATCCAAATTTTTGACTTATTTAAAGTCAAGCTAAAAATATAAGTTTAAATATAATTTCTTGCATTATGTAATTTTCATAGTTTTTACTCGATGATTTTAATAATCCTTACCTTATGTAATTTAAGTAATTTTAACTGATGATTTTAGGAATTCTTTTCATGTGATTTTTGTTATTCTATAGTTTACTTTTTTTAAATTATTAACTACTCCCTGTCCTCCAAAGATTTTCACCTTTTGATTTTTTGTGATTTTTAAGGAGAGTTGATAAAAGATGAAAGTTTACCAAAATAGCGTTAATGAAAATGGGTGGAATATATTAAATGAAATGGTAGACGTGTAATACATAAAGTAAGTAAGGATAAATGGATAATTGTGGTATATTAAGTGTTAAAAAAGATAATTAGAAAATCTATGGGAGACAAATTAAAAGGGCTAATGGGAATATAATGAAATCATTGGCTAACAAGCCAATTTAAAATTTGATAATAATAATTATTTTAATAGATAAATAATATAATAGAACAAAGAGAGAAATAAAAATATAATCTTGAAGGTAAATTCTATAATTGGTCTCTAATTATAGATGGTTTTTCATATTTAGTCTCCAACTCTAAGATTTTATATAAATGGTCTTCAACTTTTGAAAATAATTCCATAAATAGTCATTTAGGACAAATATGACAAAATATTTTTTCCACATATAAATTGTGAATGACAAAAGATTGTGTATGCAGTTACTCTATTTTTTTTATAATCACTAATATTTTAACCTGTGCCATGCATAGGGTGGAATAGTTTTTTTTTGTTTTTGTTATTTTTCATCATGACAATTTTTCAAATATCAAACAACATAAAACATATCGAAGTCGCTAATGAAAATTCTACTATATACAATTAAAAATTAACATTTCAAAGTCTTATTTAAATTAGAATATTTTAAAAAATGTTGAAGTATATACTTTTTGTGAAGTTATAAATATTACCAAAGACATGTAAAACTAATAATTTCAACTTTATTTTTACTCTGACTTGTGAAATAATAATATAAATTTAACAAAAGAGGAGAATGGAGAAACAAAATGGGAAAATGGGGATTTCACATTCAAGGAGGCATACACTGCAGTTACAGTCTTACAGACCACACAAATACCTCACTAGCATTTAAATATGCTTGGAACAACACCCAGATTCCCAAAATCAGATTGTTTCAGTGGAAGCTTTTGTCACACATACTACCTTTTGACAATAACCTTAACAAGATTGGATTTAACTTACCCAACATGTGTCTAAGCTGTAGGACAGAATCAGCAACGGAAGACCATACTCTTCTACATGGATGCAAGGCAAGACTGATATGGACTCACTTTGCAAGCAAATTCAAAGGTGTTAGTTCAATGGTGTTGGCTAATCTTTTGGTAAAATAGAATCCCATATTTGTTAGGTATTTTACTAGGGAGAAACCTCTATTTGTTAGGAGAGGTTTATTTTATTTAGACTTCTAGAGTTGCTGCAGTTTTCGAGGTTGACACAGAAGATGCTACAACACCATGCTGCAACACACTGTTCGGGATCAGAGGTCTGAGCACGGGATTTTAAGCTGCAATCTCAATTAGAGACCTATTGGGATTGTGATTACATGATAAGAACTCCAGCTGTACTTGTGAAGGAATCCCAACTCTTTAGGCTATTTGTGGATCAAGATTAAGGAAGTAGAATTCAAGCCAACTTCTACTATCCAATTCCTACTAGGATTGTGTTAAGAGAAGCCTATAAATATGCAGCAGGTCCCTGGGAATTACTTGGAGTGATCGAGAGGGAAAACAAACAATATACGCTGATGTAGAGCATTCCCGTTGCGTCCCGGAGCTTCCCGTGCGTGAAGAAGGTCACGATCTACATGAAGGAGGAGATCATCAACGCCGAACAGATCGTGACAACCAGGAGATGAACCAGAGCTTAAGGAGAGGGCTGCCAACACGTTTGTCCTCGTGATCTCGGTGGAGATGTGATAGCCGAAGCGGATCTGAACAGAGTTCGGGTTAGAAATCCTAGATTAGAAGTTTTGTCATAACAATTCGGAGAAGTGTGTCTCATCATGTTGTTATGTACCGGTGTAACTTGCATCTAGTGATTTAGTGGAGG